AATGAAAAGGCAATCTATGAACTGGGAAAAAATATTTGCAAACCACATATCTGATAAGGAGTTAATGTCCAAAAGTTACAAAGAACTTTTACAACTCAATAGCAGAAAAATAAATAACCCAATTAAAAAATGAACTAAGGACCTGAACAGACATTTCTCCAAAGAAGACATAAAAATGGCCAATAGGTATGTGAAAAGGTGCTCATCATCACTAAACATCAGGAAATGCAAATTAAAACCATTATGAGATATCATCTCACACCTGTTAGGATGGTTACTACCAAAAGACAAGAGATCACAAATGTTGGCAAGGGTACAGAGCAAAGGGAATCCTAGCACACTGTTGGTGGGAATGTGGATTAGTGTAGTCATTATGGAAAGAAGGAGGATGGAGGTTCCAAAAGATATTAAAAATAGAATTACCATACAACTGACCTAGCAATCCTTTCTCTGGGTATACAAAAGGAGACAAAATCATTACCTCGTAAAGATACCTGCACTCCCATATTCATTGCAGTACTGTTCACAACAGCCAAGATATGGAAACAACCTAAGCGTCCACTGATGGACGAATGAGTAAAGAAAATACTGTATATATACCCAAAGGAGTATTATTCAGCCTAAAAAAGAATGAGATCCTGCCATTTACCACAACATGGATGGACTTGGAGGATGTTACGCTGCAACACTAAGTGAAAGAAGCCAGACACTGAAAGAAAAATATGACGTGATCTCACTTATATGTGAAATATTAAAAAAAAAAAGTCAAATATAGAGATAGAGAATAAAACAGTGATTATCAGAGTGAAGTGGAGGCAGGGGATAAAATGGGGAGATGTAAGTCAAAGGATATGAAGTAGCAGATATGTAGGATAAACAAGTCTAGAGATCTAATGTACAACATGAGGACTGCAGTTAATAAAATCATACTAGATTAGGGATTCATGTTAAATAAGTACATTTTAGCTGCTTTTATTAAAAAAGTAACTATATGAGATAAGAGATATGTTCGTTTGCTTCACTCTTCACTATAGTAGATATTTCACTACCTATATGTACCCTGGAACATCATGTTGTAAACCTCAAATATGCACTATAAAATTTATCTGAAAAAAAGAAAACTAGGTTAACTTAGAAGAGGAAGTTAAGAAAGTTTCTTGACACAATCTGAAAAGAAATTCTGAGTACTTTCAAAGATTTTAGAAGTTGTTAAGCTTGGTTCTTTATATCTAGGAACCCCCAAATTTGTGTTTTTCCATTTCCTTGTTGCAGATCTGATATTAAGAGGCATTATTTTTGTATGACTTCTGATTTTTTTTAAGGATTCACAATAGAATGAAGAAAAGGCAAGAGAAAAGGGCATGTTACTATTAAACACAAACTCTGTGCTACATACTGTTAGGGATCTTAGAAATGTTGCCTTATTTAATTATCACAATAAGACGGTGAGATAGTGATTCCCATATACCTAACCTTGATTAAGAAACTAAAGCTGACAGAAGTTAAGTAATATGCCCAATGGTACACAGCTAGTAAAAGTGGCAGCACTGTAACTCACATCTGGGTCTCTAACTTTAATTTGTTTCTAATACCAGAATTTTCTTCCTGAAAAAAGCACGAATAAAAAAGATGAAGAAAGAAAAAATAAGGGGCAAAGAGTAAAAAAAAGAAGAGAATTAAAGGAGAGAGAAATTTTCCTTTAGTAACTAGGTAAAAGTGAGAAATGACAAAAGGAATTAAGGTATATGCTTTCTGTAAGAAAATGATTAGCTGAAACAAAATTAGCTAATTTATGTGCAGCAGAGAACAGGAAAAAGGGAGAGGATGAAATGTAAATTAGTTTAAAGGGACCTTATAGCCTATCTATTTCAGTTCCCTACTCATATAGGTAAGTTCAGCTCAAAAATGATAATTATTAAGTATTCACCTTAGGAGGCTACACAGTTAGTCTATGTGAATGATGCCACCATTACACAAAGAATACGGTTAAGTCTTTCAAAACTGCCTTCACAGTTACTTTATGAGCAAGAAAATAAGCCTCATTACTTGATATCCACATTTTGTTTCTGACTAAAAGTGACAGGGCCCAACTTGATCACCTAGTTTATTCACCCAACAAGTAAAAGGCTCCAAATTACTTATAGCTACTTATAGCCTCTCTACCCTATACCTATGCTTTAAAAAAATTCCAGTTTTACCTTTATTCTATTACTAGTTTTATAATGAACTGGTCAATCTGTTTTTGAAACCCCATCTTTGTTAAGAAACATTTAGAAAATTAATAGTCAATGTTATAAAACCATGTACAGCTAGTATGAAAACTCAATCATTATTTGCTGCTATTGCTATTTTGTTAGCATTAATTTCACTTTCTCCCTTTCTGTCTACCTCTCAGATCTCATCTATTAACACCTTTTGGCTGTAAGCTTTTTGTTGATTTCTCTCATTCTCTCTGGGTCTCTTATTGTATCTTACTGCTTAATCTTGCTTTGTTGATGTGTATAAAAAGAACTACTCTACATGCTTCACACCCTAGACATTTTTTTCATATGACAGTAACCAAGGTTAATTAGCAGGTTAAATCCTTGAAATGGAAATAAAAGTATGAAAATAATGTCTAGAGTATGAATAGGTACCTATGTTTGTAATTCTTTAATGGACTAAATGGCCAGAGATCCATCCTTTTAATGGATAGAAAGCCAAAAAATGCAAAAAAACAAAAAACAACAAAACCCAAGTCATGCCCTCTAGGCATGGTACATGTCTTTGGTTGACAAACAACCAGAGGTGGTGGCAAAGGGACAGACTAGTAATTGGAAAGCTGATCTGACCCAAAATGGAGAGAAGTACATCCCCCTACCATACAAAATTAGGAAGAAAAATAATTATCTGCTCATATCTACATGTAATTACCCAATCCAATTTTAGTCCAAGGTCTACCACTAAATATATTTACTGATATATATATATAACAACAGAAGTTGTTATTAATAACAATAAGCTAATATTCATTAAGTAGTAACCATGTGCTAGCACTCTGCTGAGCCCTGCTAAGATTGAGTGATAAATAAGATGAGCATAAGCCCCCATTTCCTCAAGAAATTTATACTCTAGTGAATAGAACAGATAAAAAAATAACAATTAAACGAAAGGATATTTATTAATAGTAAATGCTATTGTTACCAAAAGCTCAGCACTCATCCCAGAGGCCACATTAAAAAAACAAGGACAAGTGGTTTGAGGAGAAGGAAAGAGAAGTTCATTACTTTGCTGGCAAATGAGGAGGTTGGCAGACTCCCATCTTAAACTATCAATATTCTGCTTCTGAGCAGGAATAGAGAGCTTTTAAAGGAGAGGTGTTCAGCTTTAGGCTATTGCCGTTCAACTATAGCTGATAGGTTCTGATTCATCCCATTTTGGCTAAGACAATCTCTCCTGACGTCCACCTGGACAATTCCCTTGAGCCATCTCCTGTGGTACAAAGAACAAAGGGCACTGCCCTGCCCCTCCTGACCACTGGCCTAAGACAGGGTTGCAGGTTTTAATTCCAAAGGAGTGGGGGAGGTTTTAGAGAGAGAAAACATTTTTACCCTTTTTCAGGCCATTCTCCCTGTTACATTATGAAATAAAAGTAAAGCGTGCTTATAAAAGTAAATAAAAGGAAACTGATGGTCATGGAAAACTGATATTAAAGGTGAGACTTGAAAAATTCATAGGAGTTAGGTAAAAAGCATTCCAGGAAAAGAAAATATGGTGTAGGACAAACCTTGATAGGGTAACGGTTTGGTGTATTCATAGAACAGAGAGGCCAATATGGCTTAACTGTAGTGAGTAAAATGGGAGCATGGTCATGATGAGTCTGCAGAATTTGCTAGGCATCACATTATATAGGTTGTTGCAGGCCACACTAAGGATTTAGGATGTTATTCTAAGGACAATAAGAAGCTATTAAAGGGCTTTAGGCAGGAAATTGACATTGAGATGTGCCATTTTAAATGATCATTCTGCTACGTAGAGAAAAAAGTGGGATAACAGTGTGTACAGTCAACAGGGAAAAGAATACAGCCCAGGCAAGAGATTAAGTGACTTCAATTAAGGAGGTGACAGTGCTGATGGAGACAAAATGATATATTTGAGTTACATTTAGAAGTAAGGATAAACAGGATTTGGTAATTGATTGCCTATGGGGTGGAAGATGAAGCAGATTATCAGTGATAGGTTTCTGCCAGGAGCAACTAGGGAGATTATGTATAATTAAGATGGGGAACACTGGAGGAAGAGATGGTTTGAGAGAAAAATTAAGGTTCTATTTCGGACATAATGAGTTTGAGATGCCCATTAAGATATACAATTGAATGTTAGTTAAACAGATGGACTGATAGGCCTGGAGTTCAGTAGGGAGGTCTGGGCTGAAGGCATAAATTTGGGAATTCACAGACATAAATAAATATTATATATTATTATATAAACCTCATGTGAGTAGATACAAACACCTAGGAGTGGGGAATTAGAAAGAATGAACCTCAGATAGAACCCCCAGAATGCTGACATTTAAAAGTTGGGTAAAAGAGGTGAAAAGGGGACTAAAAATGAGTGGGCTGTAAAGTGGGATAAAAATTGGTAGATGATGATCATGGAAGCAGAGTCCAGAGTGTTTAAGTGCAGTGCAAGTGGTCAATCGCATTAGAGATTCCTGAGAGATTAATTAGCAAGACCAGCTTTAGTGAAAGATTATACTAGATGCCAGATTGAAAGTAGGTAAAAAAAAAATGAAGATAGCAGTCTGGATAATCTTTATCTTTCATGAAATCTGGCTATGAAATAAAGATCGATCATAGCTCATTAAGATTCAGTATCTCAATCTTCAAAATTGCTATTATCCTTATTTTACAGATAAGGAAACTGAGGGTTGGACATGTCGAGTAACTTGCCCAAGGTTAAGGGATGAGGCTAGTTTTCTTTTCTCATCTTGGTGATCCCTAAAAGTCCTTCTATAATACTTTCATGAGAAAATGAAAAACTATACCTCTGTTTCTGTTCCACAGTCATAATAAATTTAGCATATTCCACAAGAACAGAAGCAGCTTGTTGTACACCTTTCCTTGTTGCACAAAACTGAAAATAAATTAATAATTTTTATTATCATATTAAAAAACTGAACATTACACTAAAAAATAAACCACCAATAATCCATACCACGAGTGTTGGTTTCTGATCAGAGTACATTTGTATAACACTGGCAATTTTGTAGTTCAGGGTTAAATCGAACTTAAATTCAGTCTGGTTACTACTGCAGGGAAATCCAAGGACCACTTTCCGAAGTTTCACTGGTCTATGGCTTTCATCCATTTTCAGACAAACAGCAGGTCTTTCACCATCTGAAAGCCATTCTGCAATCTTTAAAAAACAGAAATATGTGTATTAAAATTTTTTCCAGTACAGTTCTATGGATAAAAATAACCCAATTATAGACTACTTTAAAGTCAAGGTACAAAAGTATTTAATCGAGTAGTCTTTTTCAATATTACATACTATTCCACTAATACTATTCTACTGATGTATTGGTAAATACTACCAATAGCAGCATTTCAAGATTATACCCACTCTTCACCATGGTAAACTTCTAATTGATTATTATTATGGTTTTATTTTCCTTCATAAGAGTCCACAGTAAAATTAAAAATTGATTTTGTCATAGAAATCAAATTTCTCAATATCATTGTAACTTTTTCATTATTTTTCAAAACTGTGCCTTGAAATGGCTGACACTTCCTTTGTGTTGTCTTCAACACTAGCTGAATAGTAGCAAGGTAATGGTTGGCTAAGGCTGGCAAGAGTTGACCATTTTTAAGCAAACAACAAATAAACACTTGAGAGATGGCAGTGAGACTCAATGCTAGCGTCACTAGTTAGTTTCTGGAGCTGTGATACACAATCCTTATCTTCACATACCCTGGTTAATAATCAGGCTCCATGTCCTGTTCTAAAATTGGCCATTGCTTTGACAGACAGAAGACTGATTAATGAGTTTCTTGTTGTACAGGAAGTAAATGTTAAAATATTCTCAAGGTAATCAGGGGTAGGGATAAGATCACACAAGAATTGACAGTTTGAGGGGAGCAGAAGGCCAAGGATAAAGACCTTAATTTAGGGAAAAATTGAAGAAGACCTAAAGAAAGAGATGAAAAAACAGCATTTACAGAAGTAATGATCACCACAAAGGGGAAGAGAGTTTCCAGAATTAGAGGACATTGGTATACAATAACTGCTTACAAATCAGTAAAAAAAATTTAGTATACTAATGTGAAAAACGGGCAAAAGGCATGACATTGCAAGTTGCAAAAAAAGAACTTACAGTAGTTGATAAATATATTAAAAATATCTGCTTCAGTAGAAATCAAAGAAGGGAAGACTTTAAAAATAAGATACTATGTTAAACAATACATTTGACAAATATTTTAAAATAATAATAATTTTATTATTATACTATCTAGTGTTAGAATATAGGGAAATGGCTGCCAGTAGAAATGTAAATGAATATAACATTTATTGAAGGCAGTATGTTCTTAGAGTTTTATATATCCTTTGATTCAGTAATTTTATTATAGAATTTCAAACATATATTAATTTTAACACTATTTATAATAACAAAAACTGGAAATAATTTAATCTTATATTGTTATGGTATTAGATAAATAAATGATAATAAAACCACAAAGATAGTATTGAAGAAGAATATTTAATGATACGAAAATGTTTACAGGTGAAATGCAAGCCAAAAAAGAGTGTGTACATTATAGGATTCCATGTATACATGTGCAAGGACAAACACTGGAATTTAGTCTTGTTTTAATAAACTTTACACTTTTCTATATTATTCTTGAATATGAAAAAAGCTATCATCTTAAGAACAAGAAAATGATTGATTGTGCCAAATTAAAGATAAAGACAAAATTTTCCACTGAAATAGACAATATAGCAGCTCTTTGTGAAAACAATTTCTAAAAGTAGTAGGGGGAAAAAGCAATATTGGTAGGCCGAGAAGCACGTATGGGTGAGAAAGTAGACTATTTTTTTTAAAAAGTTTACTTAAAAATTGAAGAAAAAATTAAGTCATATATTCATTATGGAAAGTATGATACTGCACACAAATTTTTTCTTTACATGTCCATGTAGCCCATTAACGATGAGATCCTCCTCAAGGACAGCGTCCCCATATGTTTTCACTCTTGTACCTATTATTAGTGCTTACAATGCCAAGCATATAGAATTGGGTAAATAGTAATCATCTAAGCAATTATTTTTATTTTCTACTATACTTTGCTATACAACTTGTGTCAGCTGGTTACAATAACCATAACATATTAGTCAAGTTATTATGAGGTGTCTGAAATGCATGAAACTAAGATTTTAGATACTAGCAAACAATAGACTTCCAAGAAATGTTTTATTAAACCTGATCTACCAAATTTTAAGGACTTAATAGTGTCATACCTATATGAGTTAGCCATAACTTTCTACAACATACTTTTTGATTAAATTTGTTAGGTGACTGAAAGAAAAAAAAACCTCACTTTTCCCTAAGATCAAAATGATTAAAAATTTTACAAGTCATTAAAAACCTGATAGACTAGACTAAAATTCTAACTTACATCCTCAGCATTTGGAATTGTTGCAGATACAGCTACAAATCTCATTGGAATAATAGTGCTAATATTTTTTAAAGACTGAGATACAGATTGTACAGTTTTCATTCTGCTGACTACAACTTCAAGAGTTGGACCACGATTTTCGTCTTTCACAACATGTACCTAAGCAGGAAATCAAGAAAAAATCATTAGTTATTGAACTAAAAACCTATTTAATCAATTAAAATATGCAATAGTATTAACATCCTTCCTTTTGAAAATGAGTGTTTTCCACTTGAAGGGATAAAACAAACATAGTTTGGTTTAAAATGTCTTGCTTCTTTCCATCCATTCTAATCATCTTTTCATGTTTATCTCTAAAGTGAATCATGCGTTCACTACCTCATCAATGAGAAATAGTCGAACCAGCTGGACCAAAGAGCTATCTCTCCATTTCCTAGTCATGCTATCCCATTTTTCCTAAAGAAAAAAAGTAAGTAGTTTAATGTAATAAGGAATTATAATAAATATTATTTAAGATATAAATAAAATTTTTAACATGACATATTACAAATAATGGGCAATGTTTTGGTTGATGCCTTAAAAGTATCCTGAAAAACATTTAAAGATCAAAAAAGATTTAAGGAATTTTAACAGTCCTACTGGGCCCTCAATTGTTTTTAAGTTGAACCACAATATATTCAAAGTTTTATTACCTATTTTTAAGTGCTACTAAGGCCATGCTTCTACAATACATAATACTTGGGTAAAAAAGAATATAAGCAATAAATATGATTATACATTATCCACAGTAACAAATTGCCTATTCTTTGACCATTTTTACTATCTGGTCATTTGTCTTTTACTTATTGACTTATAGGTATTCTTTTTGAATCCTAAATACTAGTTACTTTTTATATTTGTTTATATTGCAATGCTTCTAGTTTATACTTTATAAAATTTTTCTTCTTGGTGAGAAAATATAGATATTTTCTAACAAACCAAGGAAATAATAAAGTATAAAGAATACCTACTGGAGTTGTCATAATAATATGAGCATGCTGAATCTCAAATAGATCATCCATTACTGTATCTCCAGTGAGTTCTTTACAATTCAGTCCTATTGGTCCAAATTTCTCTTTCCAGTCATCAAAACGCTGACTACACAGGGCTTTTATTGGTGCCACTATAACAATGTAAGATATTTATTTTGAACATTAGTGAAATTTTAAAATTATTTTCACAAACTTTGGTTAATAAAATTAGGGTAAAAACATACATAAGTTAACAACAATACAGGCAGATTGTTTAGAAATATAAAAGTAATAACCAAAAAGAACTAACAATAGAAATAGAAGTGATTGCTCAAGCAAGTGTAACTAAGAGTGGAAAAAAGTAGGGTAGAAGATTATTGCTTTTCATTACAAGCCGTTTTGTGATATTTTATTTTTTTAAATCATATA